GTTTAGAATCCATGATTCCCATTAATCATTAAAAATATTAAAATTAACATCACAATCAATATCAATTTGGCTTAAATGTCTAATGTAAATTTATATAAAAAAATGACGCAATTACCTAAATAAATGCCTTGATGACATAAACAATTGGAATCCAACTCACCTAGTTTTTTCTAATAAAAAAATTAAGTTGATATAAGTAAAATGATAATTCTTATTAGCACAAGTGTATTTTTGTACCTTAATTTTAAATTTAATCCCACCTTGGTTATCATTTTAGTGTTTACGATGACAAAATATAGTGTAAAAATTCATAATTCTTAATAAATTAAAGGAGAGCTAATGACTTTGTACACTCAAAATCTAACTAATTAATATTATTATGTATCCATTAATATCATGTTTCACTCTCGATAGTTTTATGTTTTCTGACTTTCTAATTATATACATGGATTCATTCATTTTAATCAATGAAAAAATTGCATAATTTACACAATTTTATGGGGTAGCTAGATGCAATGAAATTAAGATGAGTTTTGTTAGTTTTATTTTTAGTAGGAAGAGCATACTCTATCAATAACATAGAATGTCTCCCCAAAATATCAAAAGCAGTGAATAAGGATTTTTTCAACTAATTAAATTACTATATATAAGGGTTAAGATTCAAATTCAACTCTTATATATATAGCAATTTATTGTTAACAACTTATGGATAATAAGATTTTTTTTTGGTAATTTTATAATGCATAGAAACAAGTATAGTCCAATATATAATTTATATATAGAAAAACTAAATACATGCCAAATGTGAAGGTATTCTAAAGAATTATTCTCTGTTTATCATAAACACCACATAATCATATAAATTAACCACAATATAAAATACACAACTTTTTATAGAAAAATTAAATCTCTCGCATTCAACTCGTTCAATGCAAAAATACAAGTTTAAGAGGGAGGGAGGGAGGGAGGGTGACACAAGTGCACTCACTTTTGTTCTCTTTTTCTTTGATAAGCTTTATTTACTTTGTTTTGCTTTCTTTTGATCTAATTGCAATGTTTATTAGTGTCCCTTTAATTTAAGAGACGAGTGAAAAAGATCCATGAATGTTGGATCCTTATAATTGGAGCACTACGCCGATCACAACAATATAATATCGCTTTGGAATAATCTGTGATTATTATTATTATTATCATTATTAATGTCAATTTCTGTGTAAAAGTTGCCTTTAACTTTCTACTTCACAACCGACAGAAGTTTAAAGAAAAAGTGGAGGATAACAAACACACACAAACATGTGACGTGCACACAACAAATTTGTTTAATGGCTTCATGATTTTATCAGACCAATTTTCACAATCTAATTCGTCCACAATTTTTTTATTTTTGTTTTTGTCCTTTTTTCTAAGTAACGCGCACTCATTAGGTTGTGGCCTGATTATATATAATTTTCAACTACGTTGAACTATGATGCTGTGAAAAATTAAAGTATTTATTAATTGTGCAGATGTAATGAACCTCTTCATTAGTTTTAAGAAAGATTATCACCCATTTGTGAATATTATTAATCAAGCTCAATCCCTTCTTTATAGAAAATAGGATATTTTGATTAACTTTATGTTTAGAAAAGTCAATTATTGTATTTATTTTTTTTGATTAAGTTTGCTTTAGATAAAATAAGTGTGTTTTAATCTTTTGATCCACCTTCATTTTTTATTTGAAGGTGGTGGATGATGATAAGAAAGTTTTTTCTTGAGTTTCTTTCTTATAAATTTTTTTAGCTCTTGATTTTAATTATAAACAAAAAAAGAAAGAAAGTAACGCGCACTCACTTCTTGATTTAATCCGTGAGAGGGATGAGGATGATTGACTATATTACTTCTATTCTTTATTAAAAGAGGCATTTAATTAAATTTTATTTTTATTAAATTTTATTAATTATTTTTAAAATTATATATTTTTTCATAAATATCTTTATTTGATGGGGTGTCCTAGTTGAAAATTTTTATTAATTATATTTCTTAATTAAGACTATTTTTGAAAAAATCTTGTTAATTATAACATGAAAGACTCAAGATATCTTATATTTTTTAAACATGATACTTGAAATTTTTTTTATAATATTAAATGGAGGGAGTAAATTATAAGAAACTAGAAATTCATAGGGCTGAGTGGGATTATCTTCAAGGGAAGAAAATAGTAAACAATCATCATTATATATTTTTTATAGGAAGTCAATGACTTATGAATAGTGACTTACTTTGTATTGTTTGTAATAATTTTTTTTAACCTATAATTATAATTTGTCACGTCGATTATAAATATTTTGTGGTAAGATGAGGGAAAATTATTCAAAACATAAAGAGCATCAGATGAAACGAATGACAGTAAGAATAAAAGGGAAAAGAAAATGTTTCTTGTGCTTTTAAAAAGAAAAAAATATTTGAAATAAAATAATAAAAGTAAGACTTCTATGAATATTATAATTGAGAGCATTATGCGTTTGTTTTTCTTAAAAAAAAAAAAAACATGGAGACGAAAAACGATATATCTCGAAAAAGCAGTTTTCTTTTCTTTTCTTTTCCTTTTTTTTGTCTGGGACGGCAACGTTAACTTTTTATCTTCAGCCGTAACAGATCAAGAAATAATTAGTGTCGTACAAAAACAATATTTCTAGCATTATTATTTTCATGATATTATGTATGAGTCGGTAGTGCGATAATATAATTGTATTATTGTTCATTAAAACAACATAATACCAATAAAACAAGGAATATCAATTTTTTTCTTCTGCCCAAATGGAAACTATATTAAAAAAAATACTTTTTTGATGGGTGAGAAAAAGCCAATTGAAAACGACAATTTCTTTTCCTTTCTTTTCTCTTTCCTCCTCCTCTTCCTTCTATTATTTATTTGCAGTGGCATATCTTTTAGGGTAGCATACACCATCTGATCTATTTAATGATAAACTCACTTATCATATTTCTTTTTTTTTTTTATCTATAACGATAAAATTTGAGATTTTATTTAAAAAATATTTAGTAGATACCATTGATAAGCATAACAATTTTTTGTTTTCTTACAAATTGGATGCTGAACTATTTCAACAACCATACTCATGAAAAATCATACCATTTTGAGAACATAAACACACCATGATGATAAAGGTTGAATTCCCCCCACAAATAATAAACCGTACAATTTACCAATCAATTCAGAGAGAATAAAAAATGAAGATGCATATTGACCAAATTAAAAAAAAGTATATAACATATTTATTCAATTCCCTTATCAATTTGACCATATATATGAAGAAAGAATTCTCACATCAATTTGACACATTTATTTAGTTGAAACTGTTCGACTAAAATTCTTGAGCAACAAGGAACCTTCGTCAAAAACTAGGAGTAGATGTTTTCAATTACACCTTTGAATTTTCCTTTTTCTTTTGATTAAGTTGCACAAATCAAGTTCATTTGGAAAACCAAAATCTGATTTTACAAATAAAGAATGGCAGTATAGTGTCAGCGTATAAAAAGAAAAAGCATGTAAACCCACGCATGTATTTAATCATCATTTTATTTAATTTTCTTTTAGTAAACTAGTCATCTATATTATAACTTTTTTTATAAATTTTTTATTTTAAATTTATATTGATTAATATTTATTTTAATGTTAATTTTTAAATTATCTAACTATGATATATTATTTGATAATTTATAACAATTCCTGTAAGGAACTTATGCAAGCTTAGCAAAAGTAAAAGAAAAAAAGGTCGAAGAGCCATTTGTGCAACGGCAGTGATTAAAGTGTTGCATTGTACAATAGGTAAACAAATTTAAAATTAAGTTACCTATTTAACCTGTTGAGCTTTGATTGGCTGGATCATTTATTTTTTTAATCCACGCAGGTGATTTTTTTTTTTATCAATTTCTATGATTGATTGATTCTGGAGGTCAATAAATAAAAACGATTAGATACTTGACAATAGCTTGATCATGTAAAGAGATTCCAAATAATTTAAAAAACTAAATTTAAATTATTTCAAAAGTGTATCAACGCTTTTACAATAAAAAAGTTTAATACATGTTGTAAAAAAAAGTTAATACAAAAAAAGGATATATTATATTCTCGCACATTTAAAGAATATGACTCAAAAATTATAGATAATGATATATTTTATTTTTCAATAGAGGAAACCAGGAGCATCCTTTATTGACATGAGCAACTAATTTCTTTAGAGATACAAGAGTTAAAAACAGACTATTCTTAACTATATCTGATTCATATACGCTATTCTTATCTAAAAACAGACTATTCAATAAATTGTTTAAAGACCAATAGCCTTACCATTCAAGCCTCTTTTTTTTCTTTTTCTTTTTTATTCAATAAGCATAAAGTAAAATAGATCTACTCTGATCAAGGGAAGTTTGGTTCCATTGGTCAAGGAAGTAGAATAAGCTTATCATAATGTCTCAAATTTAAGTTTTAAAATATGTCATTCATGTTGAATAAAAATGTTAAAGATATTTTTAAAATACCCATAATTCTAAAAAAGTTATCATTAATAATAACAATCACACATTTAAACAAGCATTAGCCAAATTAGTGATGCATATATAGGTAGATAATTAATATATCAACATTTTACTATAAAATTTATAAAAATGTATAACTTATGAATTATAAATAATAAATTTAATGCTGAAATTTCGTAACATACATAATTGCAAATGGTCTAATTGTCTAACGAGGACTTTATCTTGCCGAACACTGTTGCTACCAGAACCATCACGTATTAGCTATTGCTACTTCAACCACACTTTTTTTTTTTTTTTTGCCTTCTTCTTTTTATTTTTATTTGTCTTCCTTTCTCTCTCAAAATGTGACCTTTTGGTTTACCTTATAACTACACCACCACCAACACCAACTGTTGCTTAACGCCTCTCCCAAACATCCCCTTCTTCTCTCCTCTCTCTCTCTCTCTCTCTCTTAAATCCCTTTCTGATTTTTCCTCTTTCTACTCTCTCACGCTCCTTCGATGGACATTTCTTCTTCTTCTTCTTCCTCGTCCTCTTCCTCCGGCGCTCTCAGTCCTGACGCTAATCTCGATGCCGACACCCCCCGGACGCCCCTTGCCGTCCGGGGAGCCCTCCAGCTCCTCCAATCTAACGACCGCGATTTCATGCTCCAAGCCGCTCGCGATATTCGCCGCCTCACTAAAACCTCGCAGCGCTGTCGCCGCCAGCTCTCTCAGGCTGTTGGTCCCCTCGTTTCCATGCTCCGATTCGACTCCTCCGAGTTCCACGAATCCGCTCTTCTCGCTTTGCTCAACCTTGCTGTTAAAGATGAAAAGTACGTCACCTTCCGTTCTTCTTTCCTCCACAAAATCAGATGATTTAGTTCCGAATTGCTTGTTCTTTTTGAAATTGTTTTTCAAAAATCTGTGATTATTGGAGGTGGGAGTTTTTTTTTTAATTTCTTTTTATGTGCTATTTGCGTATTTATGCAAGTTGATGCCCGTATTCGTGATTTGTTCTGTTTCTCTTCGTTTGAAGTGCTTTATCTGCTTTCCCTGATTTAAGAAATCGTGCCTTTTATTTTATAAAGCGCGATGCATTGGAGTCGTCCAGTTGGGATTTCGATTAAAAAAAGAAAAAGAATTAAAATAACACGAATTCGCGGAATATAATTGTGGAATTTGGTGGAATATTATAGATTCTGTAATCTTTACGGTTCCCCATGTCTCTTTTATTTTCTCTTTCTTTTTCCCTCTTCCCAGTTTCTATTTGCATCTGATTGGTGGGTGTGCCAATTAAAATAAATTTTGGTATATTTGAAGTAGGATGGTTGGATATACTATTATACTCTTTTCCAACAGCTGGCTAGATAGTATTTTTCTTTAATCTTTCCCGTTTTTTTTTTTTTTTGGGTGGGGAACGATGGCTTGAATGAAATTCACTTGAAATTAACGATTTTTTTCATAGTTTAAAATGCTTGAGGGACTTTTTTTTCCCCCAGTAGATTGGATTGCTGAAAAGTTTTGGAGGAATAGCCCGTGATTAATTAAAAGTATCAATCACTTGTTTGTCATTAGAATCTTTTTTTGGTGAACTGTTGGGTTCTGGAATTTCAATTGAGTTGCTTTACGATTATATTTGATGGGTTGGAGGCGAGCATATCATGTCATAAGAAAGAATTGGGTGCCTTGGAATTTAAGTTTATCTGATTGGAGTCTTTACTAACTTTGGTTTACATGTGTACTCCCTTTTCCTTGTCGTCTTTGTTTCTTTGGTCTTCACCTTCAAGTTATCCTGATATCATTTGTTGGTGAGAGTTAAATTTCACCTTCTAGAAAATTTGGGGGAGGGATGGGGGCACTTGTTCTTGAAAAAATTTCGCCTTCTAACAGATAATGTCTTGTCCTTCAAAAAATTGGATAATATTTTGATAAATTTTGAAAGGAAGAATTTTAGGCATACTGTAATGATTTATAGAAGCATACTGATCTTTTGTCATCTTTCACTTTTTCCTTGTTTATGATTATCATGGTGACAGTTGTGGATCGGCTTTCATATTTGCTTTGTGAAACCAGCAGATTGTTTTTAATGAGTCGTTTTATGTCTATGTCTCGGTTTGGCGTTGAATCATTGAATCGCTTTCCTACTTTTTTCTTGGTAATTCTTGTTCCTGCTTTTTCTTTGAAATGATTCAATCATAACTGAAATTTCTTGATGCACTTGAGAGAAGGATGACGCTTCTGGGGCGTGCCTGTACGTGGTGCTGTTTCTTTTCTACTTTTCCTGATGAAACGGTGTTTATAATTCGGATGGAGTTTGAGGACAGAATACATGTATTTTTTTATTGATTTTTCTCTCCCTGTCCTGTTTCTGTCATTTCTGTGGCGCAATTTTTCCCATTAACAGAGAGGATGGTGCCTTGACAATTGGGCAAGAATCACACATTTATCACATTTTCTAGCTTAAATCGTTGCATATAGCCCCTTTATTTGTTTCCTTTTTGTTACATCACTGTGCTTTCTTCAAAACCCTGGTCTGGTATTTGGTATTTGGTTGCTTGTGATGGAAGATAATGCGACTGACTAGAGGAAGCGTAATTGGTAGGCAACCAGGACTCTTGATTTGATTGCTTTTGGTTGGTGCTTTTTATGAACTAGCTATATTCTTGTAAGTTGTATTTTGTGACCATATTCATCACCCAACCTGATGTTAATATTGCAGGAACAAAATCAGCATTGTGGAAGCTGGTGCTTTAGAACCAATAATATCTTTCCTGAAGTCACAAAATATAAACCTGCAAGAGTGTGCCACTGCATCTCTGCTCACTTTATCTGCCTCTGCAACCAACAAACCAATCATTTGTGCTTCTGGAGCCATTCCTCTTCTTGTGGAGATCCTCAGAGATGGAAGCCCACAGGCTAAAGCTGATGCAGTAATGGCCCTTTCCAATCTATCCACCCACCCTGACAATCTCAGCGCCATTCTTGAAACAAATCCAATTCCTTTCATAGTTGATCTTCTCAAAACCTGTAAAAAATCCTCAAAAACAGCCGAGAAGTGCTGCGCTTTGATAGAATCCTTGGTGGGTTTTGGTGAGGGGAGGACTGCCTTGACATCTGAAGAAGGCGCGGTGCTTGCAGTTGTAGAAGTTCTTGAAAACGGCAATCTCCAGAGCAGGGAGCACGCAGTCGGAGCATTGTTAATGATGTGCGAAAGTGATCGATGTAAATACAGGGAACCAATCCTCAGAGAAGGTGTCATTCCAGGACTTCTGGAGCTGACAGTACAAGGAACCCCCAAGTCTCAGTTAAAAGCCCGTAACCTTCTGCAACTACTGAGGGAAACTCCTTATCCCAGATCTGAAATTCAACCTGACACTCTTGAGAACATCGTGTGCAATATTATATCCCAGATTGATGGCGATGAACAGTCTGGTAAAGCAAAGAAGATGCTAGCTGAGATGGTTCAAGTCAGCATGGAACAGAGCCTGAGACATTTACAGCAAAGGGCTCTGGTGTTCACCCCAACAAGTGATCGGCCTGTTACTAACTGTGCTTCTGAAGTATCTTCAAAATGATAGTTTGGGTTTGTCAACTCAACTATGTATCTCTTTCTTCTTTTAGTTCCACTCTCTTTCTCCTACTTGGGGCTTGTGAGATATATATTCTCCATAGCAGAAGAAACAAAACAAGAAAATAATAGAGTAAAGCATGCCAGTCCAGGCCATGTCAGGTGTCGAGTGACTGGTAAGTTGTCAATAAACAGAGAAATTGTAAGAGCAAAAGAACATGATTTTGTAGTTGGTTTGTACTTTGTAAAGAAGCTGCTGTGTATAGAATATATACAAGTATCCTTCTTTGCCCCATATTCATGCCAATGATGCCAATGTCTACAGCATTTGTGAAAGCTAACTGCTCCGGCCGTTTGGAATTGGTTCACAGAGTTGATAAATTGGCATTTGGTTCCGTCCAAATTTTAGGGGGAATCAAAATCAGTGAGTTGGTTTGAGTCCGTTGATTTTTTTTTTTTTTAAAATCTGAATCTTCTTAAAATTTAATTTAAGTTTGAGTTCTATTTTGTGCATATGTATAATAGTTTTTTATTTTCAAATTATAAAATATTTATTAACTTTTTAAATTTTATTTTATTTCTTATCTCAGTTGATCTTATTTTCATAATTTTTTAACATATGTTATGTAGTTGAAATCATTTTTTAGATTCAAGATTTTAATTTATTTTATCTTTAAACTAGTTGAAAAAAGGAAAAATAAGTATAAATCAAACAAAGTAGACCATGGACTTGTTTTGCTGGTTTTCTTTACTTGGACTAACCATAAGGACACACAAGCGCATCATCTTTTACAATTCTTTGAGACGTGAGAGTTTTGCCATACTCTAGTGGTTTTGTATTGATTTTTTGAACCTTTTTGGTTAAAATTAAGTTTCAGTATTTTATCTTTAAGATTGAAAAGGTTCTATACATTATCCCAAATACATTTTTATGAACTTAATTAGATGGGACACACCTAAATCACAATTTGTAGCAACCACCTTGAGAATTCAGAGACGACCAATGTGGGCCATGGTTGGTTGGGATATTTGACATGGTCATCAAATCATGCCAAGCACCCCATAACCAAGGCAAGGCAAAACCCCACAATTATATGAATTGTCACACATCTTCTCATACTTCAACTCTATCTTTAACCTGTCCACCATCACATGATATCCATACCATAATAAAGAGTCCCACACCCCATTGTAAATTTGGCTGCCATGCCATGATATACTTTAATTTGTAGATTTTTGTAATTTCTCTCAATTTTAAATTACATCCATGTAATTTATTTTGTTATAAATGAGATTTTATAGTTTGATCAATTATATTTTTTTAATTCCTGAAAGCTTAAATCCTTATTATTTTTTTTGAGTTATAAAAAAAGAAGTTAAGCACTTTTATATTTCTATTAATGATTTATATAATTTTAGAATAAATTATTTTATTTTTATAACTCAAAATTTATATAATTAAATTATATTTTTAAATAATTTTAATACATGTAGAATTTTCGTAAAAAATAAACATATTAAATAAATTTTTTATCTTCAAAATGATTAAATCAAATTTTCTATAAACTATAAGGATCTAATTAAGAAAAACTACAAGAATTTACAGAATAATTTTTCTTAAAATGTTTATGATTAAGAGGCTATGAATTCTTATATTTTATAAAGTTAAAACACATTTTTGTTGTTGAAATATTTTTTGAGAATCATTAATGTTTTTTCTGAACTGACAAGTTAAAATATATAATAAAGAATCAGTTATGTAAGAATATATTGCAAGCGTTGAACTGTAGAAGGTAGTTCAGAAGAGGCGATAATTGAGAATTGTTAAGAAAAGTTGAAATTGAAATCAACAAATGTGAGATCCATTTTATTTTAACTTTTTAACTATAATATCTTGTGAATGCCGTCGATGGGCACTGTATATTTACAGGACCCATCCGGCTTTTTATATATATATATATATATATATTTGCTTTTTTCATTGTTAATTTTTTTAATGTGATATAATAAAAAAGTTAAAGAATAGCGTGGGCCTATGATAAAAGAAGTATATGTAGAACCTACAAAAATAAACTGTTAATATAAAACTTATAATTAAAAATGAATAGAATATTTTATTTATTTTTATCTTAATTAATGATATCTCTCTTTTATTTTTTAAAATCTATATGAATATTTTTTAATATAGATAGTTATAAAATACAAAGCTCTTTTTTATTTTAAAAATTTTATTTTCATTCGCCTAATCATTAATTGAATGTTAAATCATGTATCTTGAATTAAAATAACCCTATTTAAATATAAATGTTGTTTAAAAATTATTTAAATGATCAAAAAATAAATTTTTTATTATTTAAATTTATTTATCTTGTAAATTTTTTTAAAAAATTAAATATATAAATTGGCCAAAAAAATATTTAAAGATGCAGTTTATGGACTCAATAAAGAGAAAAATAAAATAAAATAATTTTTAATAATTTAGGATAGTTAAACTAGTTTAAAAAAACTCAAAAACTAGATGTCTTAAGAGTCGGGCTTAACTATAAATTTTTTATATATTCAGATATTTTAAACTCGGTATGAATTGAAGTTTCAAGGGTAATAAAGTGAATGTAAGATTTGAATAAACTTGATTTTTAAAAAATGGAGTAGCATGTGGGATCTACCATTAAAAAATGTGGTGGGGTCTACATTTATAAATTTCAAAAATTTAAATAAGGTGTAAAAATAATGAGATTTTTATATTTTGAGAGATTATGTAAGATTCATAGTAAAAAAATTAATGGTAAATATAAAATTTTTATTAAAATTATACTCCCTCCCTTAAAAAATATATGGCATTTTTTAAGGAGTGTGATATTAAAATATGTAAGATATTTTTAATCTTTTAAAGCGTAATCATTATCTTTTTTTAATAATATCTCTATTGATAATGACTTTATATTTATTGTAGGAGTATAATATAGGTAAATATAAAAAGATAGAGTTAGTTTAAAAGTAAGAAACAATTTTATTGGGAGTGAAATTTGATTAAAAATACCTTACATTTTTTACTGAAGAAAGTAGGCATTAGATTTACAAAAAAATTTTCATATATTTATTATTGTGGGATTTTTGCAAATATAACTCATATTATAAGATCAAACTAAACAAACAACCTAATATTTATTGTATTTTTTATTATGATAAATTTATTATATTTGTCAATGACATACCATTATATATAAATGATAAACCCATTATAAATTTTAAATGATAAATTTATTATATATCAATGAGAGAAACCTTTTGTACATCAATGTTAATGATTCATACTTTGAAATTTTTAAAAATTTAATCTATATTTTTTAGATACAAAAGTTTTGGCTATACTCCCAAAGGGGGGCACATTGCAAAATAAAACTAGTTTCTTATAGGTATCATCCTATTAAAATTTTAGTCTATGGAGATACCTTAACAAACAAGAAGTTAAGTCATGTATGTTAGACTAAAATAACCCTATTTAATTAAATATAAATGTTGTCTAAAAATTATTTAAATTTAAAAAATAATTTTTTCATTTAAATGTATTATCCTGTAACTTTTTAAAAATTAAATATATAAAAAATATATTCAAAGAGGCAATTTATGGACTCAATAAAAAGAAAAATAAAATAAAATAATTTTTAATAATTGAGACAGTTAAACCAACTTAAAGAAACCCAAAAATTAAAAGTGTCAAGAATTAGGCTTAATTATAATTGTTTTATATGTTCAGATATTTGACATTCTATAGGTAATAGAGGGAATGGAAGATTTTAGTAAACTTTATTTTTAAAAAATTAGAATAGTGTGGTTTAAAAAAGTGGTGTGTAGGATCTACTATTAAAAAATGTGAGTGAAGTCTACATTTATAAATTTTAAAAATTTAAACATGGTGTACAAACTAATAAGATTTTTATATTTTGAAAGATTATATAGGATTTATAGTAAAAATTAATGATAAATATAAGATTTTTAGTAAAATAATAGGTGTTAGATATACAAAAGTGAGATTATATTTTAAATTGAAAGAGGTGAGAAATTTAAAAAAAACAATGCTATTGTTATATATATATATATATATATATAAGAGTAGTACATTGCAAAATAGAAGCCGTTCCTTACAGGTATCATCCCATTAAAATTTTGGTCTCATATTTGCCAACCATGGAGATATAGAAGAGGATTTTAATTTATTAATTTTTGCAAATTACTAACTTATAGAGTAAAATGGACATCAATTTTGTTTTGTTAAAGTTATAAAGACTTTTTTTTTATTTTTAACATTTAAACTTTAGTCTCATTTTATGTCCATTTTAGAGCGAAACACTTAATTAAATAGTAAATATGAAAAAATAGTATTATTTTGAAGACAAATATCTACTCTATTAGGATGAAATTTGGTTAAAAATATTTTATATTTTTAAAAACATGGAGTATGTATTTAGTTTTTTATGTATTTAATTTTCTTTAAAAATACTAAATAAATTAATTTGTATGACTAATAAATTTAAATAATAAATAAAATTTAAAAGAATATATCAAGAATGGTATTTTAGTCCAACATATGTGATTTAACTATCAACTAATGATTGGATGGGTGAAAATGAAAATTTAAAAGTAGAAAGCATATTTGTATTCTGTAATTCTTAACTATTAATTTTAAGAAGAATTTGTATATATTTCAAACATAAAAAAATATTTATAATTAAGTTAAAATAAAGGGCAAAGTGATATATTTTATTTTAAGGACATTAAAATAATTTTTTAACAAGGTTAACATGAAATTTGAATCTTAAACTATTGGTTCAAAAGCGATTTGAATTTTAAAATTTTTAAAAACATATTTTGAATATTAAATAATTAAAATTGAGATAATTTTGCCCCCATCATTAAACTTAAACAAACATTCATTAGTTTTTTAAAATTAAAACTTAATGTGTGATGTTTATTAAATTTTATCGTCTTTTTCTTATGCATTACGCGGGTAAAAATCTAGTTAACACAAAAAAGTCATACTAGGCCAATACAGGTAAAAACAAACTAAGAAAAACAAAAGAAGTAAAAGAATAGAGTAAACTCAAAAGGCTAACTCCTGAGATAACCTTGAAGATAGGACACATATTATCAAAATTAGAAAAGTTGTTCACTGAAACTATCTTGGCTAAAGAATAAAAGGTCGGCAATTGGGTAATATCTTCATTAATTTGTGAAGACACCGATTTCACATTTGCGTGAAACCAAAAAACTTCGGCTGACAACAAACTGAGAGGACTGAGTTGGAGATTTGCATATCAACCTAAGCTACAATAATCCACCAGAAAATAAAACGAAAGCAATCTAAAGCAAAAGATAAATTGGATCCATTTTATTTGATTTGGGATGTTTCTATTGGTTAATTAGAACATAACAATACAATT